ATATTTCTTCTTGCTGTCATTATATGCCTGTTTTATTATCAGATGATTTGCCGGCAGATGTTAAGTGTGGTCTAGTAGATTCTGACTCACTATTGCCCAGTCTCGTGCCATCCTGTTGCTTGAGCCCATTGTTGCAACCATTGTGTCAGCCCATCTCCTTGAGGACCTTCCTCTTTCAAGCATGATGTTCTTTCCCAGGGATTCATCTCTGCTGATAACATGGCCAAAGTACATGACATGGGAGAATAAATCTCGCTGTCATAAATTCTAAAGAGCATTCTGGCTGTACTTTCTCCAAGACAGATATATTTGTTCTTCTGGCAGTCCATGATATTTTCAATGTTCTTCTACAACACAATAGTTCAAATTCATCAGTTCCTCAGTTTTCCATATTCATTATCCAGCTTTCATATGCATATGAGGCTATTGAAAATACCATAGCTTGCAAGCAGATAGTCCCATAATTTGGTCTGCAGCCATTTTTCCTACCACCTATTAAGTCAAGTGACATGTTGTATTAGACAAATATGCAGCACAATACCTCTTTCAAGAGTTGCAGAGCAAGGATCGCTATGAAGACTGAGGTGTGCCTCACACAAGCCATGTTATTTTCAGTTGTCTAATACTCAGGTGAAAGTTGGACAGTGAATAAGGAAGACCACGGAAGAATTGATGCACTTGAATCACAGTGTTGGCAAGACATTTTGGAGTACCAAAAGAAGAAACATTTGTCTTGGAAGAAGTCCAGCAGGAATGCGCCTTACAAGATGGCAGGACTTCTCTCATATATTGGATATATTATCAAGAGAGACCGATCTAGACAAGGAAATCACCCTTGGTAAAGAGAAAGACCCTCAGGAGATGGATTGACACAATGGCTACAACAATGGGTCAAACATAACAAGATTTGTGAGGCTGGGACAGGACTGGCAGTGTTTTGTTGTGTTTTACACAGGGCTGCTGTGGATCAGAACCAAGTCCACAGCATCTAACTACAGCTAGAAGTATGTGATCATCAGGTTACCAATCCAAGGAAGACAAGGAAAATTAAGAAATTGGTGTTTTATTTCCAGATATACACAAACACAATAATCCTGAAGATGTGGGCAGGAACAGGCATAATTTCCGTCTGTTAAACATAAAAGTAACCAAGAGTTGGAGTCAACTCAATGGCAACAAAGAACATATTTCCAGAAGCATCTGTGATACACCTCTACAAAGTATTCATAGGTATTCGTGTACTTTCTGGTCACTTTATGTAACCTCTAATTGGTTTCAACTGAGTTTAGTGTTCCAACAGCCATAATTATCACCTTGTTTAGGACTTTAATCCCTTTTTTTAAATCATGGTTTTCTTCATAGGACTAACATATGAACTGTTAATTTTACAGCATTTGCTATAGATAAACTTAGAAGTGCCTTTAACATTAAGGTATGAATCAGACAGAGGAAAATGTTTTGTAAAATAGTGTTAAAATTCCACTACATATTAGAAATAGGTTTTTTACACTAAGTTCCATACCATACCAATCTCCAGAAATCCCTAAAGACAGATTTCTTTCCCTCTGGAAGCCACTGATGCTAATTTCATGAAATGCCTTGGGGCTATCCATCAGACAGACACTGATCCGGCTCAGTCGGGACTAGTGTGGGGAGAGTGTCATCTACACTAGAGGAATCCAACTCTCTCACTATGTACTGTGTGTAAACCACTCTTGGCACTTCCTTTAGAAAAAAATGAACGAGGTCATGGGCCAGGTCAGAAGGAACAGAAGTTCCTTTTGTCTCAGATTCTTAATACTAAGAATTAGAGACCATTTGGAAAATAAATATGTAACACTTTCAAAATAACAAAAAAGTCTATCCCCATGTCCAATTCCTGGCTCTTTGTAGCAAGAGAATGAGCATCAGGCTAAGGCATGTTCTTGGTCCCAAACATCCTTGTTTTCAAGCTGTATTATAGGAGCCCAGTCACAGCTATTGGGCCAAAGCTAAAGCCTCTTATAATAGTGATGTTTAATATCTTTCCCTATTTAAAAGAGATATTTTAAAACTTAGCTATATGAAGGTTTCTTATTGTCATCTTAAGATTTTGAAAATTTTATATAATACATTGTTTCCTGTGGTAAAAACAATTTGTTTTCCAAATACTGGAATTTTGTATAGAGAGGTTTCCATTTGGATTCTTTGTCTTTTAAAAATTTCTATCTCTAAATTTGTAAAACCAGAAAGTTTTTATAAAGTATCTTAGAAAACTCAGCCTAGGGAGAAATCCAATGTTTGTGTCCAAGTGTTCCTTAGAAAACAAGGGCTATTTCCAATTCATGCACAGATTGTCATTACATGGTGATAGTCCCTTAGCAAAGGTCGTTCCCACCCCTCGATGGAGCCACAATATGCCCTGCCGTTGGAAAAAATGATTGTAATAATTTTGTTCAGCAGCTTTAATATTACAAATTGCTCTAAATTCATAATTTTGGGAGAAAACTGTTGAACAATTATCTCACTATTTTCCTTCACACATTCATTTGAACTCCATATTTTAATTTACAAGTTTAAAAAGGTACTATTAATATTTTAAAATAGAAAATATGCCTATTTTTGTATGAAAATCAAATGTAGTAAAGTACTTGTCTAACTTTTTGTCAGTAAGTTATTATATCATGATTGTGCCACAGCTTATACAAAATATGAAAAACGTTAGCAGCCTTAAGTCTTGGTCATTGTAAATCTCTGCTACCACACAGAACACTATGGTGGCATCAGCCATTAAATGTGGCAACATATACTAACAAAGAGAGCCTAAAACTCAACTGTTTCCGCAATATTCCCATAAGAGCCCATGTTGATAAACTACTACTCAAATAGCAGACAGCCTTCTGGACTGGCAAGAGAAAATATTAATCTAAGTGAAAACTGTTCAACACATCCTTCCTTTCACAAAACCTTGTTGCCGTAAAACTGGATTTTAAAAAACAAAACCTCTGTGCTTAAAACTGAGTATCACTTGAGTTAAAGTAGTGTTAGCCAGAAGATGGTTACGTGTTCAACAGTGACAAGTGTGAAGGAAATTCGGGCTGCTAAATAAAATTTCCACAAAAGTTATCACTGTTATGAAATTATCTGCAGGAATGGTGATTCAAGATTGAAAGGCTTTTTCTTCCATTTATATGGTGTGCCATCCACTCAACTTTTTCTTACTAAGTCAGTGGTTCTCAACCTTCCTCATGCCACGACCCTTAATACAGTTCCTCATGAGGTGGCGAACCCCCCCCCCATAACATTATTTTCATTGCTACTTCATCACTGTCATTTTGTACTGTTATGAATCAGGTGACCCCTGTAAAAGGGTCATGAGACTCCCAAAGGGGTCGTGACCCACATGTTGAGAACCACTGCTCTAAGGTATAGTGTTAAACCACATTCCTAACCTTAATTCAGTACTGGTTGTATTTAAGGAGTCCTGGTGGCATAGTAGGTTCCAAGTTGGGCTGCTAACTGTAAGGTTGGTGGTACAAACCCACTAGTTGCTCCAAGGAACCAAGAGGCTCAGCTCCCCAAAGATTAGTAGCCTCAGAAGCCCTCAGGCAGTTGAGCCCCACCCTACAGCATTACTGTGAGTGGAACTGACTCAGTGACAGTGAATGTGGTCTTGTAAATAAATGGACCACATGCTAACGGACCCAGCCATAAAGAAATGGGACCTCTGGACAAGTCTACGGGAAACTAGGATCCTGAGCCTGGTACTCTGATGAACTGTATTCCCCATTGTTACTGTATTCCACCACTGATACTGAAGCACAGCCCAAGCGCCCTGTTGAAAATATGCTGTCTGTGGACAGCCTAATGTAGTCCTTAGGGATGTTTCTAGGAGGAAGAAAAGGAGCAGTTGCTAAAGAAAGTGGACTTTTGTTTGTAACTTTAATAATCATAAGATTTCCTAAGGGCTAAATGTGTAAAGCAGTACAGAAAACGTGAGTAATTCATTATACTTCTAAGAAATTCTATTACAGTTATCAGAAAGAATCAATGTGCCACTTTATAAAAGATTTGGAACTGTGAGTCCTCTCTTGTGGGTTTTTCCCTGCCTTTTTCTAAGCTAATAAATGTATTCAGCTCCTAAAAGAGCTAGGAATGTCTTGACTTTTTAAAACTTATTACCTACTATGTGGAATAGAGTATACTCAAGCAGATACCAGACTGTACAAAAGATAACTGCATCATGATGTATGGTATAAACCATAAGGTTTATAGAAATAAAAGCCCTGTTAAATGAAATGTAGTAATGCTTTTTATTGTTGAAAATATTGTCATCCAATAACCAAACAATCTTATTTTCTGTTTTTCAAGTTTTATTAACATACAATTCACATAAGCAATTTAATGGTTTAATAAAAAAGAGTTCTGCAATGATCTCCACAATCAATTTTAGAACATTTTCATTTTCCTTGTACCCATTAACTACCCCTTTCCCCTCAACCACCTTTGCTATAACCCTAAGAAACTAGCCAGTTACTGTATTATATATTTATCTATCCTGGATTTCCTGCACAGAAAAACATGTAAAACAACATAAAGTAACAGAAAAATCTCGATCAAAAAGCAGAAAATACTAAAAACTAGAACAAATTTTAAATAGGTCAAAGAAAGAACAAATGATAAGGTGTTAGATTTTAACATTCCATCTGCATTACTCTATTTCCCAGTGGACTCTGACAGCAAGGCTGTTTACATCCCTGGTCAAAGCTAAGAAGGGACTCACCAGAGGCTTGATCCCTGTGGGGACTCTGGCAAATGGATTTGGGGCTTTCACTGCCATCCATCGCCTTCTGCAAACCAGGGTGCTCAGAATTTAAGCTGATACCAATCCCTCCTTTGTTCTTTTATTTAATTGCTTGCAATTCTTCGATTATACAGGCTGGAATGTTTCTTCCATGTGGATTTAGCTGACACCTCACTTGAATGGCTGCTTGTTTTAAGGAAAGCTTTTAAAACCCCCCGACACTGTTATTTTTGATAGCCAGGCACCATCAGATTTCTTCACCATACTTTGCTAAAGCACCCATACCTTCAGTGACCTCTTTTGAGGGCAAGTGTCCAATAGAGCCATACATTAAGAACTAATTGTTTGGATTAGGGATACACAAATAATCCTAATTCCGTAGCTCTTAACTCAGGCCTTTGCTCTTGGCTCCAACTGGGACCACATGGCAGACTTCTACTTCCGCACCCAACTTCTGCAGTTCATCCAACCAGATCATTTGCTTATAGGAAAGACGATCATTGGGGCCTTTAACTTCTATCAGCTGGAAAATATATTTTTTAAAATGATTAGCTAAGGAAACAACCATTCAAATAACAATTATAGTTCTCCGAACTATATTATTCTAAACCATATACAAGGTAGTTTCAAAAAGTTTTTGGGGAAAAAAATCCATTTTTTCATTTAATATCTCTAGGAACATCTTAAAGTCCTCCACCCCACCCCCATACATACACACACACACACACACACAGCCAGTAAAGTCAATTCCAACTCACTGTAACCTCATGTGAAAGAATTTAGCCATAAGGATTGCTAGTCTGTAATATGTATAGGCAAACACTTGCATGTCAGTTTCTCATACTGTGGTGACTTGCATGTTTATGTGATGATGAAAGTTATGTCACAGTATTCCCAGCCCCAGCAGGGTCACCAAAAGTGCACAGGCTTCAAAGAGCTTCCAGACTAAGAAGAGACTACAAAGAAAAATCAGCTGCCTAATTCTGTGAAAGTAGCCACTGAAAACATTTTGAATAAACAGTGAAACGTTGTCAGTTTCTGGAAACCTCATAAATAGCAGCAAACATTGACAGGGATAGTGCTGGAAGATCAGTCCCTCAGGTCAGCAGAAGGCACTCAAATTATGGCTGAAGAAGAGCTACCTTCTCAAAGTTGAGTTGATCAATAATATGGATGGAGGAAATGCTTCAGAATCTTCCTTTTCCAGTAGAGCATGAATCAAATGAGCTGCAAACATCTATTAATAATTGGAAGTTGGAATGTATGAAGTAAGAATCTAAGAAAATTGGAAGTAATCAAAATGCAAATTAACACATAAGATTAATACAGGGATCATGAACTTACTGGTATTGAGCATTTCAAATACTATAATCATGCTAAGAATTATAAGGAGGAATGATGCAGCATTTATTGTCAAAAGAACATTTAAAGATCTTGAAGTACAGTGCTGTGATAGGATCCAGTCAATAAAATTATTACTCAGACTTATAGGCTAACTTCTAAAAGTAGTGATGAAGAAACTGAATTTTTTACCTTCAGTCTTAAGTTGTTCAAGCACGCAGTCAAGATGCATTGAAAATTATTAGTGATTGGAATGCAAAAGTTGGAAACAATGGAGGAGGAAAAGTAGCTGGAAAATAGGGTCTTGGTGAAAGAAATGAAGCTGGAAATCACTTGATAGAATCTGGTAAGGACAACTTCTTCATTGCCAATACCTTTTTTAACAACACAAAAGGAAACCCTATATGTGAACATCTCCAGATGGGATACACACAAACCAAATTATATCTGTGAGGCAGGACGAGGGAAACTATTGACAAGCTAAAACAAGGCAGAGGCTGACTGCAACATCATAGGTAGATTCAGATGAAAGCTGACGAAGCTTTATAAGTCCACTGGAGCCAAAAATGACCTTAAAAATAACAAATCTGAATTTTAAGGACATCTCAAGAACAGATTTCATGCATAAACACTGATGAGCTGAGGAATGACATCGAGAATATCATACATAAAGGAAACGTCATGAAAAACAACATACAAAAACGTCATTAAAAAGACGAGAAAGGAGTCTCAAGATGGTGTCCAGGTAGAATCACCTACCCAGTGCTCCTGTTGTTAGATAGGAAAATTAAGAGGTTGAAGAGGCCAATATTGGCAGGCCGGATGCTAGAAATAGAACCCCAGTGTACTAGGGTTTGTGGTTCAGACCTCCCCTTACAAATTTAGCCCATGGAGAAATTCGAGGGTTAGCTGCAATGCTCTAAGTTCACTATGTCTGCCCGCGGGCTCTTCACATCCCTCGCTAGATTCAGTGGGACGGCATGCACCACCACTTCCTGCACCCGAGATCCGGCAGTGTGCAGTAATTTCCTCAAACTGCTGAGGGTGGTTATAATCCCAGGCCGGCAGAGAGTCTCTGTAAACTAGGCATAAAAGCTTACTCCACTGCCTACAGATGGGCTTTGGGTCTCTGCTCTGCCACCCCCCTCGTGGAAAAGGGGGAGGAAGGGGAAACTGATCATAATAATCGATACACAACCACACCCTCACCAACCCCTCCAAGGGGAAGAACAACGGAAACCATGTGGAAAGGGAGAACAGTGGTGGATGTGAGATAGGAAAATAGTAACAATTTATTATCTATCAAGGGGTCACAAGAGTGGGTGGGGGAAAGGGAAGGAAAAAAGAGGTGATACCAAGAGCTCAATAGAAAGTAATGTCCAGAAAAGAATGATGGCAACATATGTACAAATATGTCTGATACAATTAATGTATTAAGAATTATAAGACCCCTCAAAATGATAAATAAATAAATAAACTCACTCCAGCACTCCGTTCTTTACTCCCCTCTCCTATTGTGCATTTATGGGCTTGCACCTCACCTCCCTACCCAGGAAAAGTACAACCGGCCTTCCAGTGTGGGTAACAAAAAATAATCAGACATTAATTTACTATAATCAGAGTGCCCCTGGGCTATTTACCAACAGCAGATCACAGATCCCTGGAACACAGCCCACAGAGCCATGCAGGAATGAGCCAGTAAGGCAGCCGGAAGAACTCGGACCCCACACATACATAACACACTGCTAAGGGGG